CAGACAACTAAAAATTGCAGTGTAAACACTTGTTTGCCATTCCTGCTAATACATAATTGTTGTATCCTAATTATATCATGTGGCAGCACTAACAGTAGTTGTCGATAAGTGGTGTTCTTCTTTGTTTCACCACTATTTGTGTAGTTTTTGGAGTCTAATTCGTCGTTTTTGAGTTGTGTACTGATACATATTTTATTGAGCGAAGGAAATTATGAATAAATTATTTAGAAAAACTTGTAAGTATGAATAGTATTTAATGCACATGGTAAAGTTGCACTTCGAAAATATTTGATATTCTCTTTACTTCATCTGTCGAGCCAGAAGATGCTGCATTGCAAGAAAACTCAACTCTTGAGGGACTTATTAAAAGGAAATGGTTGCTCTTTTTTAGAATTTTATCCAAACACCGATGTACTTAAAAGTTTCAAAAATTAAATGTAGCATCAAAAATTGTACCTGAATAAAGCTTAGTATACAGTTCTCAGGAAAATCTAAAAATTCGTATAAAATCACACTCAAGAAATATAAATAAATTTTCCCCTATAAGAATTTCTTAAATCAGACAGAAGATCTCAAGAAAAAAAAACGCTCGCATATTTAGTTCTTCAAGAAAATTTGAGCCAACGGCAAAGTACTTTTTCAAGCAATAAAAGTAATGAAACAAATTCTTGTGATTTTTCTAGAAAGCTGTAAAACATACATAATATGTACTAGAGAAAAACTTTGTGAAAAAACAAATGTTATACGACTTATCCAAGGTTTCACTCAACAATTTTAAATTTATCGGACTGTTAAAATTAAAAATGTTTAATTTTCCGAACACAATTGTGGCATTTTAAATTTTAACAGGCTGATAAATTTAAAATTGATTGGTGCAGCCGGGCATTAATGATTTAAAAATTAAGAAGAATAAGCGATTTTATTGCAATGAAAAACTATTAAAATATATAAAAGTAATAAAAATTTTAAAAACCCGTAAAAACGTTTAACTTTTTATGTTTTACGTATATCAATCAGAAAAAAAACCAAACGATCTTCCTGGTTCTGTTTTACAAGCAAATGACGATTTTCGGGAACCAAACTGACGGTTTCTCACTTCAGTGACCTGGCCACACTGATCCCAATAGTCAAAAATTCCGGCTAGAACTGCAAACCCTACTGAAAAGAATTCATTTCACATGTACATACATATGTATGTACTTATGAGTGTATGTATGTACATGAAATACTCATACGACGTGGTGTACCTTGCAAACCGGTGTACAATGTCGCTTGAAATGGAATGAAACGGAGTAAATTTGTGTTGCGCCATTTACCTATGTTGCTTCATTTTCATGCATTTCCTTTTCAAGGCATTGTATATTTTGGCTTAAATGACTTATATACATATGTAAGTATGTATGTATATCCACGTTTCATGTAGATCTTTATTATTTGCTTGCTTGAAAAAACAAAATATTTCGTGTCAAAATGAATAATCAAAGCCAACAACAAATGTGCGTCTGCAGCGTTTTTGCTTTTACCATTAGCTACATTTATTCATATTTTTCTGTTGTCGCAGCTGAGTTTAATTTGGACAAGTCTTTATTATTATCATTAGGGGTATTCAAGGTCCGGTGCACATGGTCTAGCATGGTGCATAGATAGGATAAATAGGATAATTGTGGTTGTTTCATGTGTTCAAACAACAACAAAATTAGCCAATCATGCTATATATGCACCATACTGGACAGTATGCACCGGATTGTGAATACCCCTATTGTTATAGCCTGCGGACATATACATACATACATACATATCCATGCATGCAAGTATGTAATTTTATGTATGGATAAGTGTTTTGTATGCGTATGTATGTTTATTTGTAGTTTTTGATGTGTGCTGTCGTTATTATAATAGGTTTTCATGTTCTTCCTTTTTGTGGTATGACAAATGTGTTAAAAGTAATTACTTTTATACATACACTAAAATGCAAGGAAAGTCAAATTGCTCATATTTTAAGGTAATGGCAAAATATGAAAATGCTTCGCATGCGTTTTCTTTTGCCTTATTTATTTAGTTCAGAAAGTTTTTGTTTACTACGTGTTGTCTTAGAATGGTGTCAAAGCAACCAACTGCGTGGTTGCAAGGCATTAGGTTCCTATAATATTGATAAATATTTTCCCTCAAACTTCCTGAAAAGTTTAAAAATGTTTATTTTGAAAAAAAGGAATATTAAATAATGCATTGGTTTATAAAGTAAATTGAACAGATGGCAACCCTCTTAAGAAAAAAATTCTGAAATAAAGGTTTCTTAAGCCCCTTTCGGTTTACACCTTTATATGGTGTAATATTTAGTTCCTCTTTTTACATAACTGAATTGAATTTGAAGTTTAGACAGGTGGCAACTCTCTTCAAAGTATTTTCTAAATAAAGATTTCTTACACCTTCTTGCTTGGCATAAATATTGTAATATCTTATTAACCTTATTGATGCAACTTAATTTTTCTCAAAACCATTTTCGAAACAGGTGGCAACTCCCTTCAGAAGAATCTTGCGAAATAAAGGTTTTTAAGCCTTTTTAATTAGACACCGTTATTTAAGTATTTTTTTCCACTGATTAGTTAAATTGAATTTTACTTTTAATCAAGTGGTAACCCTCTAAACATGTTTTCGAAATAATTATTTATCATACCTGTTTCGTTTGACATGCAGATCGTAATATTTAATTGAACTTGTTAATTAAATTGATTTTGACTTTCAGATAGTTGGCAACCCTAGTCTAAGTATTTTCAAAATAAAGCTTTCTTTAAGGTTTTTAGAATGCCAACCATATTAAAATATGTATTTAACTAAAGTTATTAATAAAATTGAAGTACATTTTTTTAACAGTTGGTAACCCTGTTTTCGAAATAATTCTTTTTATAAATTTCGATCGTTTGACATTCATATTGTGGAATTTCGTTTTACTAATAGTTTTAATTTAATTTCCATTTTGAACAGGCGGTAACCCTCTTAGAATATCCTAACCTTGTAGTGTCTTTCAAAATCGGTGCAGCTTTTGTAAACGTAATATTTTATCGCAATATTTTGACGAAAGTCTTTAAATTTAAAACATTTTATAATTCCGGTGGGAAAACTGTAACTTTTTTTAGTGAGACACTCGCAACTGATAGAAATTATTATGGAAATAAATTGAATATATTATTTTAAGTATGCCACTTTGTTCGCCTGCACTTTATAACTAAACAGGGAATGCTATATTTTAAGGATATCATCAAAGCAAAGACTTTTAGAAAATTAAATCTGCATAGTGCTTAATTGTTTTATTTAAATTAAGCCTCAGTAAAAGTTTTTAGCAAATTTATTGCTGCAATGATTAATATTTTCACACGGCCAACCACACATGTGCTTACACTACATATGTATGTATATACAAGCAATTACCCAGCAAAAAATCGGTAATCGCTTTTAGTGGTAACGTGTTCTAGAAGGCATAGCGTTGTAATGCCTTCGAATTTTTTCACTTCTTTTAGGCATTGTAGGTAATGCAAAGTAGAATGTCATACAATATTTTATTTATTTCGCTTCTTTGTTTCATTTTGGGGAATGCAAAGTAGAATGTCCTATAATATTTCTTTCTTAATTCGCTTCTTTGCTTCATTTCAGGGAATGCAAAGTAGAATATCCTACAATATTTTTTTTTATTTCGCTTCTTTGCTTCATTTCAGGGAATGCAAAGTAGAATGCTACATCGTAGCCAGCTGAAAAATAGAATGGATATCCAAAAAATCTTTTTCTCCCGTTAGTTTCTGTGGAAATTTGTCTCGCATAAAAATCATGTTTTGCTTTGTTCAATTTGCAGCGAAGTTGAAGTCAGTCAATGAAGTCAAGTACATGAGTGAGGAAGTACAATTTTAAGCTTAATTAAATATGCATGTATGTACATACCGATTTTAAAGAAAATCTAAATACCTAAATACATACATATGTATGTATAAAAACTGATTTATATAAATTTTAATTAATTTTAATCTTTTAACACATTTTCTGATTTAATATATGTAAATAAGTATGTACTCATCTGGGCATTCTACATTAGTTTCTCTGTAAGGCATTCTTTGTTCGCTTCTCTGGATTCTGTTTATGCATGCGTTCTCCCTTCGTTTGAAGGTAATGCTGCGGGTAAGGGCTTACCGCCAATGACATGCCCATGTTAAAATAAGGCCTTCCTGAAGCGAAAGGGTAAGCGATTCCCATCGCCTAGCTCGTTTCCACTTTCGCTTCTGTGGTAATCGTGTTTTTTGCTGGGTACCTACCGATGTAGGCAAACTTACATGACACGTTTTGCTTTCGTCTGATATGCGTAGCGTATCCAAAAACAAATTACTTTTTTTATTATTCTGTTGTGGTTGGCAGCACGCACATATTTACTGATCACTGCACAGCTATGTTGTATGCATACACTTCCTCAAAGCTCATCAACGTCTTCAATGTATGTATGTGCGTACATACATATGTATGTACTTATAGTATATGCATAAACAAGTAATTGACTTCCAGGAAACAGACTACAAAACTAGGTAAATAATCAACATTTACATACAAACATACTAATGTACATACGTGCTCCGAACCATTGTCATAGGCCAGAAAAGTTGGTCAGTCAGTTAAAGTAATCAACTGACAGCCAGCCAGCCAGTCGATTGACTGACCGACTATGTGGGGCTTAGCTTTTGTGGCACAATACACGTAGCCAACTGGCCAGTTATTATGTGAAGGACGGAGATGTGTTTTCATATGCCTTAACTGTTTCTAAAAATTTTGCTTTGTTTGGAATTTTCCATTATTAAGTAAATTTATCTCCATGTAGGTACATATTTAAGTATGTATGCAGGCATGTAAACTTGTATGCATGTGTAAATAGTTGTAGCTTTCTTTTTATGTTATTGTTTTTTTTTTTTGGTGTACTTTTTACTAAACCCTTCTCACCTGCTTGCTACTAGCAAATATTTACATACCTTGTTATCCTTTTGCCATGAGCATGTGCCTCGCTTATCGATTACTTTGCATGTTAATAAGGCGTCCTGACCCGGATTCACTTCGCTATACTTTGGTTGTTCTGAGAATCGTTGAAAGCAATTTATTCCTAGAAATATACGAATAGCAGTAAATATATAAATTAGTGATAGGTAAAAGTGTAAAAGCAAAATGCTTGGCAATTTAATGTAACTACATTAGTTAATATATATTTGTAAATTTAATAAATGTAATTATATGTAGGCACGGTGGCATCCTAAGAAAGTGATCGAAGTATGTATGTGTGTAATTTTTTTATTGAAGGGAATTAGTTTGAATTGATTTGAGTCCATGAGCACCTGAGTGTTAGTTGTGAATTCTATTGCCTCATTATGGCTTTCATGGTTTCATCTTTAATTTATATTTAGTACGTACGAACAGAGAGACACAAATTAGCTTGCCATTAGAAGAAAATAAGTTTTGTATAGATAAGTTATGTTGCACTTTTTGACATTCTTTATAAAATAAGGCTCAGAACACCATTGAATAATGGCTGGTTTCTCCAACTCAACTTAACTTAGTTTAGCCACTTTTTGGACTTAAGTCAAAAGTTAGCCTACGTTTTACACAGCTTAGTCTTGACTAAGTTAAGAAAATTGACTTAACTAAGTTAAGTTGAGTTGAAGAAACCAGCCCTAAGAGTTTTAAACGAGAAGAAAATTCGCATTGTCTAAGCCAGTACCCAGCACTGGACAGCTCAATATTGTAGTAACTCTTCAACGAAACCAACGGTGGAGTACTGTCCTGTGGCATTGACAATACGTTAACGTCTAAGTAGATCTCTGTTTCCAGAATTTTCAATCTCACGCTAGCACCCATTTTTTTTGCCGATGGATGCAAGTATTAGGTAATGATAGGCTTAGAAGAGCATAAAGAGCGCCAGGAGGCTATTGAATTAGAGTTTGCTCTACAACAAAAAAGATGTATAGCTCTAAGACCACTAAGGCAATGAAAGTCCATTGTTGTTTAACGTGCGACTTCCACAAAAAATTGCTGGGACTACATCTAAATATGTACTTCCTTTCAGAAGAAATTTGCATGGTGACTCCTTTATTGGAAGGAGGAACAAGGCCGTCGAATATTATCTTTATAAAGAAGATCAAGATGAAGACGGTATGTAAGTAAGTTCAAAAGCTCAGTAATTTCTTTATGTACTACAGGCAGGATGACATTCTTCTTATGACATCTTTATTTGCCACAGTTCTTGCAACACCCCATTTGTAGCTTCAAACTTTTGTTCTAACATTCTCTCCCTCTCCTGTCGAAGCAGAATAATGTGTCACCGTCACTTGATTACCAGGTAATGAAAAAAAAACCCTCAATTCTTGTATGCGCAAAAAGGCTCATCAGCAGCCGGATTCCAACTGTCGCTATCGCAAATTTTTATAAATAAAAGTCTTCAATAATTGTTATCTAAGGCATATAATCTAAAACACAAAAATAACTGTTATTTGCAGATTATTTAGATAAAAATTAAAAATAACTGTTATTTTGGATTTATAGAATAAAAATCATAAATAAATGTTATTTTTATTAATTTTGCATAAAAAGTACAAAAAAAATTATTTCAAATTTGATTCTCAGTGAAAAGATATGTTTAGGCGCGTCTGCTAACACCAGGCGCCTAAATTCATGCTATGTACTGCTGCATGTGCAAAAATTTCCTTTAGGCAATTTAGGAAATTTTT